TCTTAAGGTTGCAGTAGAGACTTCAATCCTAAGAACTGCGGATATGAGGGAGAAGAAAGGAAAGGAACATGTATGGTCAAAAGATCATAAAATGCCTTGCCAAGCCCGGCCCTACAGGGCAGTTACTAGATGAATCACAGCGATAAAAGCATATCATGTTGGAAGCAGTGGTTAGTGTAGGCTATACACAAACCAGAATTGGGATGTGCAGTTTCCTCATTTCCCAAATCAGATATTCACTTAGGTGGAATCGACTGTATCTTTTTACACAACATATAGAAAAAAACAGATACGTGCAACAGTGAGGTGTGTAGATGCATCACCAACACAGAATGACTACCAACGATACAACACGCAGAGAGAAACAAGTATTAGGAAAATGGTTTAATATTGGAGACAGAAGCAAAAAACCGCATCACACAATAACATACATTACAAAAATAAGTCTGACTGTTTCAACTACACGGTTATGTTCACAATGAGGACAGAAGGGTCAGAAAAAACTTCGATCTAAACAGCAAAAAAGCAAACTCCTAAAGTTTAACTAATACATTTATCCACTTAAAGTGACTGAGTACTTCTAAGTCTAATTATCTTATTGTGTAACTGCACAATACAGAATAAAAAGTGAAACTTACCGCTGTATTTTAAGACAAAATTCTAGTGCTAGATATAAGCAAAGGGAAAAAAGAAATCAAGCCAAAGTTTTTAATTCTTAAAAGAAAAGCAACTTTCTTTCTATCAACCAGAAATCAAACTTGAAATCAGTCATTGTCAGGGGCCCACAAGAGTAAGCCACAAAAATTTCCATTTTTTAATCTCCAGTATAAAAAGTCCCACTGGTACAAAATGCATAAGTACAATCAGTTGTAGAAATAGGAAAGCCTGCATTTTTGTTTTTTGTTTTTTTGTTTTTTGTTTTTTTTGGCTCAAATTCCATCAAACAACAAAATCCAAATGCATCAATAAAACAGAAACAATACTCAATGATCTTACAGTTTCCACTAGGTTGCATTAACTTTGGCTTCTCTCAGACAATATTTAAAAACTATTTTGTAATTCTAAACAAAATGGTATTATTAATCTACAAACAACAATTCCCACAGCACAAAAAACACAAATACATTTTTGTATGACATTATTCAAAAGGTAATGAAACTACATTTTTTTTAAATTTTATTTCTTTTTAATTAGCACTTAAGATAATAAAAACAGAAACAGTAAATGATTCCAGAGTAGCACAAGCCAAAGAACCAGAACCCCTGCGGTGAAGGAAAGATGAACTTGTTACACCTCGGAGGTGCCATTCGATCAGAGTGCTCTGAGTGAGTTTTAAAAGACTATGCTCTAGACTTGACTTTAAAAACGCAGTTTCCCTGTGTTTTGTCTTCCAGAAACAGGCCCCGTATACCCTTGCAGCTTTTTCCTTTTGACATTGAAAGATAAAGGACAGTTTGTCTCTGAGGAAGGTTATCTTTCTAATAATGAAACATGCAAAATCAAAAACCTCCCCCTCAATGTACTGTCTTGGTTGCCTGCAAAATTAGAAACACTCAACAGAAAGTGCCTGCCTGGCCCAAGCCTCTTCGGGGGACTGCAGGTGGGTTAAGAGGAAGGAGGGCAGTTTGCATCCATGGGAAAAAAAATCTGATTTGTTTTTTGAGATTTTATGCCATTGCTAAATGAATAGATTCTGAATGTGATGGTCTATGAAATACAACTGGTATTTTCTTGAGTTTCTACATGTGTATCTACACACCACCATATAGTGGAGACTGAGAGATGTGTGTGACCACTTTGTTATTAAGGTGAGTGCTGCAGAAAGTACAAAATAGCCCTCAAGGATGAAGGAAGGCCCCGACAGTAGTAAACAGGTATGGGGTAACACGAATCATGTCATTGGAAGTGCATGTGCTGTAAGGAGGAAACTTGTTTTTTGCATTGTGAGAGACTAATCCTTTCCATCTCAGGGCTATCCCATACACATACACGCACGCACACACGCACGCACGCACGCACGCACGCACGCACGCACGCACACACACACACTAAACCAGTGGGGTGGGTGAGAAGGAAAAGGGGGCTGAGACCAGAACCTTGCAGGGTATGCTTTCCCCAAGGCTGGATGTGTGCTGGGACTGTAGGTGTGACATTAGGGTCTGTCAGAACAAGACTTTTGTTCATACAGAGCCAGACTCAGAAGGATGTGGCACTTTGCAAAGTGGCAGCAGGAAATGTTCCTGGGTATTTGGTTAGTAACTATGGTGAAGAACACAGCCAAGCTCCTCTTACATGGCTGGCTCCTTTAAATGTGTTCAATCTAAAGTTAAAACACCCTAGAAAAGCAGAGAGGCAAGGAAGGGTCCATGGGCTTTTCCCACAGACACCTTGCATATTCAGGTGGTCACTAGAGTTCAAGAATCCCTAGCACAATGGCTGAGTCATCATTACTTAGGAGTATTTAAGAAACAAAAAGCAAAATTCCTTGAAACACTAGACCATACCAAAGCCATTTAACTGCAGGGTGTATGAAAATGTTACACACTACGACATATCCATGAAACCCCTTCTCAAAAAGCAAACAGTGTCTTTAGGGTTTATGTCGGGGCTAAGTCTACCTGTTTTTACCTCTTCAACTCAGGCTTTTGAACTTAAACCAAAGGAGCACAGGATAATAGGAGTGAGGGGGAATAAAAAAAGAAAAAAAATGGTATAGGAAAAAGACTTAAAGAATTTTTAGGTAGGTGGGTCTCAAAGAACAAAACTAAGAACTTAGAAGATATAGATGGGAAAAATCCAGATCAGAAACACCCCAAAACAACCCAAGGATAACAGTATAAAAAGTTACCAACATTCCAGATAGCTCTGGGTAGAAAGGGTTTTAAAAGTTCAAGACTTTCTCACCTTAGAGGTTTCCAGATATTATGAAGAAAATACATTGTGAGGGTTGCCTTCACAGCATTGATGTGTAGAGTGGTTAAAAAAGTGAGACATGGGCACTTATACAATGTCTTACAAAAAACAGCATAGAGAAATAACAAACAATAACAATTTCAGGCAACAAGACCACAGAATAGCAAGTTAACAAACTTTGTAACCTTTTTTTTTTTTTTTTAAATATTAGGGATTTATACAAAACACATAGTAAAATACCCATGTTATCAAATTACTTCTCACAAGAAACACACCGAAGCTCTAGAAGGAAGTACCTTTGGAATTTGGCACTATATAGTTTTCACTTTTTTTCTTTAAAAGAAAAAACAAAAACAGATCACATTTTGCTGAACACAAACACATCTAATAGTCCACAATAAAAAAAAAGTGACATCAATGCTTCTCAAGCCAACACAAAACTTATTCTGGAATAGTTTTTTTTTTTTTCTCTCACATGAAATTATTTTTTTAAGCAAACAACTTTTTTTTTTGAAAATCTTTTTTTTTTTGTTTTAAGTAAACCAATTCTATGCTTGTCTTATCAACAAATAACATTAAGACCTTAAGACTCATGATGAGACCACAACTGAATCCACAGAAGCACCAACATGACACAGTTTACAGTAACCTTTCTCCTGTACATTGAAACAGTATAAAATATAGGTAATTTCATGTGCATCAAACCATGGATTGTCTAACTGTGAGTCAGTTCAGCAAAAGGTGACACAAATAGGTAGCATTTGCCCCCAAACAGGGTAAATATTTTTCTTATACTAATCTACAAAAAGTGGTTCTATATATATATCTTAATGAGAAAGTGAGCCACCTAAAATGGCCTTATCAAAAAACTTTACACTGCCTGAAAAATGTAAAAACTATTACAGACCTCTAGAGACTTAAAATCAGACAGTTTTTTTTTTCTCAAACTGTTTTTGGAAGTAGTCTGTTAGAAACCAACATTCTGTGTCCCTGGACACATATTGCTATTGTCACCAGTGACCGGGAAGAATGCCAATCCCTGTGTAATACTTTCAAGTCTGTGTTATTAAAATAAAAAAAAAAAAAAAAAAAAAAAAAAAAAAAAAGAAAGAAAGAAAGAAAAAGAAAGAAAAAAAGGAAAGAAACATTTTTGCCACAGGTTTTTTTTTTCTATAATTTGTCTAATCATTTCAGTCTTGCATGAATGCAGCAATGTTTTTCACATTGACTTCCCAGAATTCATAGCTAGATGAGGTCACATGCAAATTTCAAAGGTCAAACTAGATCAAAGGTCAGTAGGAGAACCAAATATGATGTGAGGTCAGAAAGACATCAGAAACAATGACGGGACGATGAAACTTTTTTTGAGACGCCACAGGGACATGCTAGGCAAACGATGAACTAACGGGCATGAAGATGTCTAGGGAAAAAACAAGGAAGAGTAAAAAGTTACACAGAATCTACACAGCAGCAACAAAATCACTTTCAAGGGTGCAGGAGAAACACTAATGCAAATCTTAGGTCTTCAGAGAGTCTATGAGCCATTCACATAATTTGCATTTCTTACACTCTTTTTCCACAGCACAATGAAACCCCAAGAGAATCCATCTGGAGAGAGAGAGCGAGAGGGGATGGATTCTGGGTATTTGGGGTGAGGGACTAGCAAGGGACAGAGGAGAGGGTCCAGTTTGAACAAAGGTGACATATGGGGAAGTCAAGACAACTGAACTGTAAACTAGATAATGGAAATTACGAACAAAATAATCAGACAGATACAAACAACAAGAGGATAAAGCATGAACTTTAGGTCTAGGGTTCAACAGTGAAAAAAAGCCCATTCCTAGAACAATTCCTCTAGAGACTACTTCAGAAGGTTCTAGCTAGACAGAGAACTGCTCTTTAGGTACCCAATAAGTTAACAATAGGCAATAAATAACTTCCATTATTTCTGAGGCAGTAAAAATTTTGTATAAAAATAGAAATGCTTTTTTTACAAATAAAATTTACAGGCCTGTGGCTTTCTTTTTTATTTATGTATTATTTATGTATTTATTTATTATTAAATTTATCTTTCAAGAAACATCAAGTATTTTCACTCATTTTATTTTATTTTTAAACCCTGTAGCTTTAAGAAACAGATCTCTAAATCTTTTTTTACATTAATCCTTTCTAAAAACAAAAATAAAACAATAACAAAATAGACAACCAGTGTAATAATCTGACCAATAAATGTCATGTTTCTTTGAACCCTAAAATAAAATCCTACTTATATTAAAACAAACCAATGTAGTGGTTGGGTGGGTGTTCTGTGGTGTTTTAAGCTTCTCCTGGCTTCTCCCTCTGCTAGGCTGCCACGTTAACTATAAACGCGGGCCCTCTGAGAGGCGGGCGGGCAGGTGGGCAAGGACGGGTGAGTTCTCCAGGCAGTGCTCTTGGGGCACCAGTGGTTTCAGAGTTAGAATTGCACATTAGTGTTTGCTTGCCTTTTAAAATCTCAAGATGTCATTTATGTGTTTATATGTTTTTGTTTTAAAAAGCAAACCAAAAAGTTTTAAAAAGGAGTAAGGATATTCAAATTGCAAAATAAAGGAGAATACAGTGGCACAATTAGAGGAGGAATTGACTCAACAGAAACAAGGTAGCCCAAGTTTTAATTATGGCAAATTGGGTGGGGCATGAGTGGAAGTAATGGAGGCCTTATTGTAAAAATAACCGTCTCTCTTGGTAAAAGTTGGCATTGTGGTCCCTCCTCTGCCTTCCCTGTTGAGAACAGGCTGGCTTGTGGGACTTACCCTAAGAAAGCTAAAATAAGAGCAGGGAGCTTCTGGGGTTAGGATCAGTAAGGTTTGCTGTCGTTTTTGGAGCGCTTCAGCTGCACCTTCAAACGTTTCATGCCGATCTGAAAGCCGTTCATAGCCTGGATTGCAGCTTGGGCAGAGACTGGATTGTCATAGCTAACAAAACCTGGAAGACACAAAGAGGAAAGAGGTACGGAGGTCAGGGTGAAGGGGAAGCCAAACAGAAAATGGGGCTGGCGGGGCTGGCCATCATAGTGTGACTGCAAATGCTGAGAAGTGCCTGGTCAAGGATCTGAGCTTGGCTCTGCTAGGTTTATGCTGTCCTATGCATGTATATTTCTGAGGACAACATTGGTAATGCCCACTGGCAAGTAGTGAGAGCTAGTTGGAGTGCAAATTCTTCATGCAGGGCAAAAACCCTTTCCACAAAACTAAAGCTAAGTTGTTCTATGAACTTTGTCCCTCTATTTGAAGTGATACCTGTTTATTTCATCCCCCCCCTTCAGTCTTTTGCAAAGAATACTTGGAATAGAATCAAACACCAAATTAACTGAATTAGAATAATGTATACAAGCTTCTTAATATTTTAGAATTACTGTTTACACAGACCCAGAAAAAAGGTACATGTCTTTCTTTTTGTCTCAGGGCTTAATATTTTCAACATATCCCAGTAATTTGTATCTGCAACAATGGCGGGGGGGGGGGGGAGGAAGAAGGAGAAGGAGAGAGGAAGGAGGAGAGAGGGAAGAGGGAGAGGGAAGAGATAGATAGATAGATAGACAGACAGATAGATAGATTGAGATAGATATGCCTGTTTCTGAAAAAGAATAAACAATATTCTGCAAAGATTCTGGTTGTGGAGTTTGTTCTAACAGTGGAGTGTGAGAGTGTGAGGTCAGTTAGGCAAGTGGTAAGCTAATGTACCTCCTGACTTTGAGTGGTGACAGAAAGTTACTCCATGGGTTGAATTTCACTTTGAAACATCAGTAATTGGGAAGATTATAGCATTTCCACCTATCTACTATTATGAAGGTTTACGACTAAAGAGAAAATTCTTTTATGAATCAGTGGAGGGAGCAAAGGACATAAACATACTTGGAGTACAGTTCTCAGCTGATAAAAGTGGACACAAAGGTACAAGGCAGGGACGTTTTCAATAGGTAGGCTGTATTGCAAAAATGGGCATTCAATTCCCAGTAACAGTAATCTTAAATCCAAGACTTTCACTCTGGCATGACTTCTTTCTGTTGGTGTATTTTAGGTAGAAGTGGCAAGATGATTAAAGAATGGAAATGGGTCAAGATGGATGAAAGGATGGGTTTATTATGGTCAGCAACTCGGCAAACTGAGAGATTAAGACACAGACTTACTCACTGAGAAACTTGGGAGGTTAAGATTTTTAAGACAAATTGAAAATACATTTTGGATTCTCACAGCTACAGCTTGTATTATCATGAACATATTGGTTAAGTAGTCTCTGGACTGATGAAATATCTTTTCAAGGTAATGTTTCCTCAAATCACGGACTACAGTCCCTTTCAGTCTCCAGATAAACTTAAAGCAAGTATGCAGCAATGAGAAATATGTCTTTCTAGAAACCTTATACAGGAAACCTTCCCAAAGGTAAGCTCTGGCTCTTACATGCATATATCCCACATGACAGCTTAGTTTCCATTTTACTCCTCAGCTGATACCAAGAATTTCTATACAGTTCCCATAGTAGAGGTGTAGTGGGCTTAGGCTGACAGTCTTTCTCTTAGGGTAAAAACAATCCCTGGAAATGGTTGATGCATTGATTCTTCTAACCCCAAGGCTTAGGCCATCCTGGATGATGGCCTTGGCGCCTGAGCTTGTAGAACCAACATGCTATCTACCAATCAGCCAGAGAAGGTTTGAACTTCTGGCTGTTTGAGAAGTACATTTTTCTTTGTAACACATATAATCCTGTTTCTTTTGGCCCATATCTTGCAATATTAATTATTAAATTGGAGGAGTGATAGCAAGAAATGTGATGCACACTGGGCCAGAGCTTGCTAAGCAAGGCTCTGAATACCCTGGACTCTTAAAGTCTTTGTAGCTAAATCAATTTGACAAATAAGGAAGTCCTGAATTTAACAAATGCTGTCCTTGTCATATAGAAACTCTAGGACAGGAATTTTCATTACTCTGTTATAGAAGGGGAAGAAAGGAAGACACTCCCTCTGGATCCCAAAGGTGCAAGACCTGACAGCTAGATGCTTTTCAGTCTTTTATGAATACCTGCATAAATTTCTGTGCTCTGGCCTATGCACATAGCCCTGGCTAATCTTATAATCTAAGCCCATCATAAATGCTTTGTTCTCTGTAACCACAGGACACACCAGCTGCCATAGAGATGCAGTGTGGTAGTAGCCTGGCCATATCCTGCTTATGAGTGTACATTTGTAATATAAGTACTGAATAACAAGTCCTGATACAGTGTTTGAGCTATTTGAGATTGTAGGAGTAAGGAGTTAGTGGCAAAGTGTTAGCAGTGGTCATCTGTAGCAGTACAGACTGGAAATTCATGGCTCCATCTACAGGGTTTGAAGAAACAACTACTGCTCCATGGTGAGAAAGAATCAGATATATAGGAAGATAGTTTCATACTACAGTATAGACTGTTACCTAATCTAAGGGAGTGTCCCCTTTTATATAGTGCTCCCCCCTTTTCTGGTTAAATAACTGCCCAAATCTGTTTACATGCAACTAGAAAGTCAGGAGCCACCACCAAAAGGAAGGCTGTATCCTGACTCCTGATTGGGAAACCTGCAATATTTAGCTAGGTTTCTTTTGCATACCAAAGCACTTGCTCAGATTGGTCTGTTTGTCAATGAAGACTTTAGCAGAGATAACATTTCCAAAGGGCATGAACATCTGCAGAATGTCCTGGTCTCCAAACTCCTGTGGAAGGTGGTAAATAAAGAGGTTTGCCCCCTCTGGACCTAAAGAGGAAGAAAAAATCAGAGTAAGGTATCCCCCAAGTCTCAGTCCCCAAAGCCTCTTAGTAATAGGCAGACTAGCCATTGGCTTTTTCTTATAAAGAATATGCAGATGGATAATTTTAAGGGTCAGCATGATCCTCAGGAAAACATTCATCCTTTGAGATTTTCTAATTGGTGGCAGGGGTGTGGTGGAGAGGTAGGGCATGTTCTAAGTAGCTTCTTTTTCATAGAATCTTTAGCTCACTTCAGCTGCACATTAGCACTCATCTCCATGGTGGCAATGGGGGTAGTAGTAGGCAGGACAGATAGCTGCAGAATTTAGGCATGGGTTGCTCCTGGGTGGCCATGTTCTATGTGCAGACTATCTTCTGAAGTGGAAGAAAATGTTCTTTGTATTCCAAGCAAATTCATTTGCAGCAATTCACAATACAACAGCAGTAATGCTGCTTGGATTTCTCAATCATTTGCTCACTTATTCAGCCAGTTTTGATTTGGCAAATCTGTGCACACACACTGTAATAATCATCTTTATTAGAATGACTGGCAGGAAGTCAACAACTGGGAGGAAGGTGGCTAGAATCTTACAATTCTGACAGGCCTTTATCACTAAGAATTATACTTGAGTGCTGTGGACCCAAGAGCTTCTCCAAGACTGAGTTAAATACAGCCTTTCCCTTTCCATGAAAATCCCAGAAGCCAAGGGGGGAGAGAGAAGGTCTTTTTTAGCTGTATTGATTGGAAGGTTAGTTTTCTTAAGTTCCTCACTGAACTCAAGATTCACCGATGCAAGAGCTGCATGGAAGTGAAAAGAAGGGAGCCATATGCATTGGACAGATGATAAAGTCAGGATACTTCCTGAACATTGGGAAGAAAAGGAGCCCACAGAACTGGGACATTGGCTTCTGTACCTGGCTACCACAGGAGAGGGAACTTGCCTGTTTGTTCCACATGGAGACTGGGAGGGCCAGGGTCCTGTGCATTCCCTACAGAACTATTACAGTGGGGAATGGTATCTATGTGTGTGGACATGAGGAGAATGAGTATTAAAAAAGAACATTGTAGAAATAAATGAACTGGTGTATCTTTGTTTGCCCCCAGAAAACTAATGAAGAAAGTGTTGTAAAGAACGACACTTTACTGAAGCCAGAGATATAGTTACTTCTTTCCTTAAAAACATGTCTGTATTACTACATTGCTTACAGAATCTATGGCTATTTCTATAAAAAAGGGAGGCAGCCTGTTTTAAAGGGAGATAAGTATAGCTGACACTGCTCCTTAACTATTTTCTGGTCCCAATACAGATAGAGGCGAAAACTCAGATGCTGGAAATGGGTGTCTAAGTGTTACTGCAGCATTTCTGTTCTTAGTAATAGGTACACTGGCCAAATGTGTACCCCAGATTTAGTGTGCCTTTTAAAGAAAGGATTTCAGTGCTTCAAGAAGGATTAATGGGGGTCAATTTGCACCATAAGTAATGTTGCTACTCCTGGAACCTGAGCAGTAAGTGCAATTTTAATGGACAAGACAGACTATATGTGCCTGAATGACCCCGGTCATACAGAATGCTATATATATTCTGATTATGTACAAGCTAGAGAGAGACAGACAGACCACGAACAGCAAGACAGACAAAAAGAGCCAGTGCTCCTTTTGTTTAATATTTTCCCAGGGACAAATTCTAGCATCCTCTTGATCCCCTTCCTCTGCTATGCCATTACCAATAAGCAGTTTGATCTTTCAACCCTTCCAAACTGGGATTACAAAAAACAGTTTCACACAGAAAAACATTCATTGCAACTCATGTAGCTGATGTCAAAACCAGCAAAAATTCAAACACACATATACACAAACACACACAATCTAGATCTCTAAAAGTAATTAAAAACCAGTTCACAACTCACTCTTTTTGTCTGTCCACTTTCTCCTAGCACAACACCTTAACTGGCAGCTGTGTTATATTACTGGTCTCTACAGGCTGGCTGTTGTAGTCTGTATTTCTCATAGAGTGCCTGATGTAGCACAAAACCCTAAAGCCCAGAACAAGGCTACACCAAACCTACAAGTCCCAATTGGCCTCTTGCTGGGACCCTAACTATTTGTGTGTTCATAACTTGCTTTCTGTTAAGGAAGGGAGATGGGGATGTATGAACATAGCCTCAGGATGTTCACAATGGCATGAAAGGTGCTGGGCTTTCCTGATATTTAGCAGGATGTTCACAATGGCATGAAAGGTGCTGGGCTTTCCTGATATTTAGATCTGTAAGAATGCTATACTCCTTCAAAAAAATTCAGCTATGGAAACATTGATTTAAATCATTTCTTTGCCAAGTCCAAATGGCTCATTTTCTTGTGGTGGAAAAATACGCCAGAGCCCATGGCTAAAAAGTTCAGGGTACATTTCAACTCTAACTAAAGGTCAGAACAAGGACAGAGCTGTAGATTAGGGAATCTCAAAATCTGCTAATGGCAGATGGATGACAATGTTGAGCTAGATTAACTGGGTGAGAAGATGGTCAAGTGAGAGGTATGAGAAGGTAAGATATGGGGTTTGGGGCAGGGACAAACAAACCACAAATGAAATAAATAAATCAAAGCTGTGACTGGTAGCCAACAGCCCTAAATTAGAATTAGGACATGGTGATCATGACCTCTAGGCCTTACAAATCAAAGAACAGCAGTTTATAGTAGTGGGCTGGGTGAAGTCATTTAGAAAAATATTGTTACAGGACCTAGACCTTAACCATTAGATTTTTAATCTTTTGGTGGCAGTTTTATATCTGAGTGACACAAGTTACACTGTCCTGTAAAGCCATATTGGATAATGGAGAGACATACAGCATTCTCCAGGACCATTTGGGGCACTTAGCTTTGTTATCTTACAGGTTCTCTCCCATGGTACTTCTTTCTCACAGTGGCTCTCAATCCCACAGGGACTAAACAAAGTCAGGATTTCTTAGGGAAGAGCTGTGGTGTTCATGATGCGGGGTCCTTTCAAGCACCCAGTGAGATACAATTGTCTAAACAGATGTGCATGCTTGAAGACCTATTGAAGTCACAGCTCAGAGGAGAGAGCTGAGAAGTTAGGTCTCATGAATTTTTTGTTTTCATGATCTCTATGCTGTTTTCATGATCTCTATGCTATTTGTCAAAGGAAAATTTGTTTTCTATTTTTAAGTTGTATCTCCTTAAAAATCCTAACTTTGCCAAGAAAAACTATGATACCCCTTACAGATTACCATCTTTAAATTAATATCCAAGTAAAAGTTGCTTGTAACTACAGAATGAGGGTAAAGGGGGAAAAACAAACAAACAAGAAGTCTTCTGATTTATCTTTCCCCATATTCTGAACAAGTCAGAAATAAAACAGAACACTGCTGACTGCTTTAAAGCAACTTCAGTTAAAAAAAAAATTAAAACAGTGGAATGTGGTAGCATACAAATGTAATTATAACCCTAGAACTGGGGAGGTGGAGCCAGTAAGACTGGCACAAATTCATGCACATCCTGGGCTGTAGGATGAGACTCTATCTCAACAAACAAACCTAGCAATAAAGCAAAAGAATGAAAAGGAAGGACAAACTACCCTTATTTGGATGAAGCCATGTACCATTTTATAATTAGTTTTAATTTAGTCTTAGTATTAGCTTTTTGAAATGTACCCTTCATTACTGAATCATCACTTAACTTTCTTTCCTAGAAAACATGCTCCAAATACAGCAAACTAAACCATTTTTAACTGTGGATACCATCATTATTTGGAGCCTATTGCTTACTGAGGGATAGCTACACAACTTCAAGGGTCATGGACACCAAGAACCTGGGGAATTCAGGAGAGAAGTTCTTCTCCCACACAGCATCAAATGGTACCTCTCACTAAGGAATTTTTGTATGCAGAGATAGACCAAGTATTCATATTGACCTCGAAAAGGATGTACTAGGCATTTTTGATGGCAGCAACTAGTAAATCATTTACTATAAACACCTGATGGATGAGAACCTCTTAAGGGATTTGTGAAACACTGAGGACAGTGTAAGATGAATAGAAGCCTGTGATGAAGGGCTCATGTTTGAGACTTTTAACAGGAATACTAGGAAGTAAACAGGTGATTTCTCTTAAAACACTGGTTTAAATCAGCACCTTCTGGGCATTCTCTAAGGCAAATGCAGATCTGGCTGGCCCCGCCAGGCCCTTAGGTGCAGGTAGATACCTACCTTCCTTCTGGCTGCCTGCAGCACTCTGCTGTTGCAGTAAGCTCTGGCTGTACAAAGTGGGCAGTGCAGCTGCCGCATACTGCTGAATTCCTGAGTAGGCCTGGGTGAGGGCGTCCATAGTGCCAGCTGTGCCATTCGTCAAGCCTGTGGCGCCAAGTCCTCCATTCAGAGCCGCCATACCTGAGAGCATTTGAGCAACTTTACAAAAAACCCAACAATAGAGAAGAGAAATAGCACTTATTCATTAGTGCTTTCCAAAGGAAGTCAGAGTAATCATTTGACACAGTACAACAGCAAATGCATGCAGCTAGCACACCAATTAAACCAACATAAAGTCAAAAACGATACATATGAAGAAATAAATCACAATAATGTGGACAAAAAAAAAAAAAAGCACTGCTAACTCTCCCTCCCTATGACAGTGATAAAGATGCAGTGAGGCCCTCAAGTCAGACAGAACCACTCCATGCAGTGTGCTGCTGGCAAGAACCACTGTTACCTTTTGAAATCTGTTTCTTAGATCTAAGACACATGTAAAAGAAAAGAAAACCAAACCAAACCAAAACCATAGTGCCTGAGGTCTATCACATCTGTATGTTGCTGTCCACTGACTAGGCTCTTGGGGGCCACCGGTGGTTCAGGAAGCTTGGTAGCAAAGAGAAACTCTTTACATTCAAGCTGGAATAGGTAACACCATTGCCTTTGTTTTCTTTTATGATTAAAAAAGGCTTTTAAAAAGATCTGCCTCTGAGAACAACTTACTGGGAATAATGCTAATCTTGATGGTATGGAGAAAAGCTACTGTAAGGTACTTGCAAAGGATGAAGAGGAATCACGTACCAGAAACACTTATACTTCCATCAGCATCGCCACGTGCTGTTCACAGGAAGGGAGTAGGGATGTCCTACATGTACTTATGCTACTTAGACAATGCCATCTTTTGAGATACAAAGTCGACCATGGCTTAGCAGCAGAGGACTCTCCTAGTGCTTTGGGTTTCCTATTGTGGGGGTTGAGGAGACTGAATTGGGCCTTTAGTTATATCTGCCAAAAGACTGGAGAGGAATTTTCTTTTTCCCTTTTGGTTATGTTTTATCCTTACTGCTCAGTATGTGTGTGATACTTCTGAGAGGCCTAAAGAAGTGTGTAAGACAACTTGGAACAACTGGCTCTTCTGATGGGAGATGTCATTCTGTAGATATGTTTCTCTTATTGGTTAATGAATAAAGCACTGTTGGCCAATAGGAAAGCAAGATAGGTGGGACTAGGAGACTAGGAGGAAAGAGGAAGTAGTTGGGAGGAGATTCAAGATGGAGAATGGAGAGGAGAACACCAGCCCCTCTCTCCAGTAAGATAAGACCACATGGAAATACTTAGATTAATAAAAATTGGTTAATATTTAAGACAGACCCAGCCAATAAGAAACTAGTAATTGGCCAACAAAATTATATCTAATACAATGTCTCAGTGTGTTATTTTGGGGCTGGCGCAACTATGGGACCAACACCAGCCCCTCTCTCTGGTAAGATAAGACCACATAGAAGTACTTAGATTAATAGAAATGGGTTTATAATTAAGACAGAGGAGCTACCCGATAAGAAACTAGTAACTGGCCAACAGCATTTATATCAAATACAGTGTCTCAGTATGTTATTTGGGGCTGGCACAGCAGAAGGACAAGACCGGCAGGCAGGAAAAAACATACTCTAACATCTTTCAGTTCATAACAGATGTTAGGGATACAGGCCATCAAACTGTGGACTCAATTCCTTTATAGGAGGGAATTCTGAAGGGAAATTGCCCTTCTGCCCCAGGCCATGGGGTTTTATGTGCATACAGCACCTTCGGGACTCTGGATTGCCCAACTGCTTGACATGTGCTAAGTCCTAAGTTCCACTCTAATAAACACCTGCAAACCTACCTGTCACTCTACCACAGCTTGTCTGATAAGGGCTGTGGGGTTCCTATTCATTGTCACATAAGTCCCATATAAGGGCTCTATTTAGTCTGCAGCTTTGAATTCTCCCCCATTTTGTCATTTTTTTTTAAATCTCTTAAAATAAAAACAGAATGAATTTCATACTTTCAAAATAATGGAAGGATGTTTCAGGAACAGTGGAGTATGTGGTAGGCTTGCAACTCTAGCAAACAATATTCCAGCTCTGTCTTCCATCGTCTGGGTAGTATTTTATCATGACTACCTATGTTCTTACATTATACTCCAACTTAGATCTACTTTCAGGAAGCTTCTACTGCTGCTATGTGTGTGGAAGAAAACTCCTAGTCATATGTTCTTGGGGATGGCTATAGGGAGGCAGGAAATAGATGGAGTATAGATGCCAAGGTAGGAGGAACTGGTCAGGGACCTGTGCAAATAAGAGTGGGACAGCTTGGTCTTCCTAGCCTCAAGCTTCCCTCTTCTAGAATATAAACATGTTCTTGAATAAAGAATAAGGGGTGTTTTAAAAAAATCTTTCAAATACAAATGCATTGAGAATATTTATACTATCTTGGAAAATCTGGAGGCTATGTGTTGGCCAGATTCAGGGATAAAGGACCTCATGGAATCATCTGCAGAACTGTCAGAGGAGAATTTCAACTTTTGAGAGAAATTCTTACGAATTACCTGGTATTATTCTACATTAGATAATCTGGTATCGAAGTCAACACTTAACAACTCAGCTGCTGGTATCTGATTACCTCTAAAAGCCTTGGACAATAGAAGTAGAGATGTGAAGTTAAGTGTAGTTGAATAAAATATTTCAATTTAAATGAATAGGGTTTTTCTTTGAGAAAGCTGCATGGATCAGTTCTTTCCTCCTATTCATCTAAATTCTTATTAAGAAGGCTGGATAAAATGATGGGTATGACAAACCTCTGTAAGGGAGGTCTGGGCAGCTGGCATGACAAAATAGTTGGCATGTAGCCTGTTTACTCAGACTGTTACATTTACTCTTCAGACCTAAGTTAGTTAAATGACAGACACACCCACAATTATTTTTGTGGGCATCATAGAAATGGTACTAAGAAGCAGAACTAGAAGGAGTGTACTATAAGCAGACTACATTTATTTGCAAGCCACTTTTTTTTTTTTTTTTTTTTTTTTTTTTTTTTAGGAGATAGATTACACAAATAAGAGAGAAAAAGTAAGGAATGTATCAGAACAGGTTTATGACCTATTGACCGAGTTTAAGTTTTCATTTGGATAGATGAGGTGTAGCCTGCTAAGCAACACCTTAATAAATGAAGATCTGGGAAAAAATATCTGGAATTAGGGAAGATGCAATTATAATGGCACTTCCACATTTGCCTATGTTGGTAAGATCACAAATGCAAATGTGTTTGGGTTGTGTTCTGGTATGGAATGACAATTCACCTTAAGAAATTGCTAGCTGACAGATTAAAGCAATGACTCTACATTGTAAATAAGAACAGTGTAAGCTAGGGTAACATGTCCAAAGGCTCTCATAAAAGAATTCAAAGTCACCTTCACCAAGTATTTATGACTAGTTACAGTAAAACAGTCATAATTTCAAGGATGACATGTTAAGCCATATGGAAGAGTAACATAATTTAAACAAAGAAAAGGATGCCATTTCACTTACATTTAGAAATAACTAATCAGAAAGAGGCTCTTGAATAAATATATCTGTGCAAAGCATTTTTCATCTTAATTTAGATACTAATATATAAAACATATCCATGGAATCCTTAAACTATCCAGATGAAAGTTCTGAATGACTCACATTTTTTTTGATCATGTTGATTCTGGCTTTACCTTTAGAAGACTGAACTTGTATTTAGCTTTACTCATTAATATATAAGGAAAGGGAAGGAAAGGCTTTTCCAATAGTTTAAGCTAGCTACTTATCTATGAACCCTCTGGCAGTGAAGAGGGCCAAGCCTAGGCCAAGATGCATCATCTACCCACTTTCTTTCTGCTTCTGTTCATGAAAAATAGCTGGTTCTGTTCAGAAAACCAGCAGCCTCTCATGGTTGTAGCTACAGTACCATACAGTAACCATCCCTGGGACATAGCTGGGGAGAAAACAGTACATGTCATTAACTGTTGTAGGAGCTGATTGTCTATAAAAGTATTTCTTGATTACCTTGAGAGAATTGTCTGCAACACATAACATCATAATTTCTGTTGAGGAAGAATGAACCAAGAGGATATTCTACCTAAAAGAGTTTCCCTTAATATTTAATATGAGACAAGTATTAAATACTCTCCCCAAGTTGTAGAAGATGCTTGTACTAATAACAATAAAGAAGGAATGCATTTATTTCTATTTGTGTATAATTTTTGTTTGTTTAAACATTTTCTTCCTGGTTCATACTGACTGGTAAACAGGGATATGTGAAATTAAAAACATTCTTCCTTAACCTGTCACTTAACCTATTAATTCAATTGCAAACAATGAAAATCATAACCCAATTTGAAACTGTTGTACTTGCCAGAGCAAACTTTGTGTAATGTACGACCCCACACAAGGACTAGCTATGGTTTCTCATCACTCAATGAAGTTTCCCCTGGGTCCTCATGATAAAGATGGAAAAAGCCCAGCAACATAAAACAAAGCAGGTGCAAAGGCACAAGACATGGACAGAGACACACAGCAGTCATGAGCACGTGCTGAGGAGGACAACCATTCCCACTGGCCTGTTACTCTGCAGACCAAGGACAGGCAGGCGATCAAATCAAAGTCCTTGTTTGAGGGGAACTAGGTCCTGGGGCAAGAGAAGCAGCATGAGGGATGTATGCACACACACATCCGAAACCCAGCTGAAGGGCAAGTGGGCTGGCACTGCTGCAGGCCAAGGTCAAAAAGAGGAGCCGCACCAGAACAGGACTCAGGCCTCCAGGCTCCTAGGTGGCTGCTGGAAAATGTAAAAGCTGGAGGCAGTTTTAACTGGAATAAAACATTTTGGCTGTCACAAGGTTACCAGGCCATGTGCTATATTCTTATCAAGAGCCATCACATGTGGAAGGAAACATTTTTTCCTTTATGGTCAGTTAAACTTACTCTAGTTTTTTTTTTTTTTTTCATCCCTAGTGCATCTAAATGAAAAGACTTAATAAAACCTGAACATTATCTACTTACTAAAATATGATTTATTTTCTTACCAGGATTATACAAGTTAACCTTTATATGAACACATTTTAGAGTTTAAACTCTTTTATTACATTTATTTATTTAGTGTGTATGTGTGTGTGTGTGTGTGTCTGTCTGTCTGTCTGCACATGTGAACTTGTGGAGGTCAGAGGACAACTTGTTTAAGTTTGATCGCTCCTTCTACCAAGAGGATCTCTAGGGGCTGAACTTATTTTATCAGGCTTGGCAGCAAGCACCTTTACCTGCCAAGCCATCTTGCTGGTCCAACTTCAGTTTTGCAAAATCATACTTTTTGAAGTTTTAAATATAAATTAGGATTTTGATTTAAAATAATTGTGGTCTGGTCACTCAGTAAAATAGTTTACTACTTACTGATGGCTTAAAGTGAAGTAAATGGTCAGGACCTACTTATACACATTTTAGCAGGCAGGTGTTATACTGCTTGGGCCTTCTGGCAGATAATTAGGTCCAAAATGTAGAAACTCTGTTGGCTATTCTGGGTCTCCTGGGCAAGCAGGGTGACCAAATGGATTGACAGGTAAATTATATGTCCTCCTTATGCCTGAGACTCAGTCTTCCCAGTGCAGAAGCCCACACCAAGTGTGACTCATCCTCAGGCCTGGGCACTATTCCCCATATGCATCTGAATAACAGAACAGTTAGCTGTGTGGGATAGAGGCTAGTATCCTTTGTAAACAGGCCAGTTTGTTCCAGAATCAAGTGTAATTTGCTAACCTATTTGTGCCAATCCTGTATTGTCTGTCACTGTTATAGAGGCATCCATATCTCCAGGCACTTCATGAAGACAGTTCTTTTTCTATCGGTATCTCCTTGCCACTCAGTTGTATTTCTGTCTTTCCAAGGACTGGTTTTTTGCTCCTATACTTATCAGGAAACCTTGATTTTCCAAGCTGGAGGGCACCTTTAATATCATTTGACCCAGAATTTTCAATTTTTCCCATGGAGACTAGGCCAGAGAGGGAGCTGTGATTTGCCTGAGCTCTTACAGTTGACTGGCAGTAGAATTGGACATATGCTACCCAACTTCCACTCCATTAACTTTTCCATTATAATACCCTGCCTTGCAGCAGGGCTGAGAAAACAAAAAACCAAACCAAACTTCTTGGAACCTGAAAAACTACCTGTTAAACCACACTGTGCATTGGAAAGAAGCTGGGGTGGGATGTGGTTGGGTTTATTTTGAGTTAATATCAACGGGGAAAGCTTTTGCCTATTGAACCATGTGCTCCTCCATCCCAAGTTTTAGTTCTCCCCATGTCATGTCCTTTTTGGTCAATTGTGGCTGGCCATTTTCTGAAGAATTTAGGGGAAGGCTGTCCACCAGAGCAGCAAATACTCACTGTTTATGGTACCTGCTAGTGCATTAATATTATTCAATCCAACAGTGGCTCCAGCCAATCCTTGCAGGGTCCCAAGAGAGGTCAAGGAATTCATGGCTGCACCAGCAGTAGAATTGGGGGTTGAAGCAGCCACTGAAAAAGAGAAAGGGAGAGAGAAAGCATAAGATGAGAGCCAACTGGAATAAAAAGAAACCCACTATCACTATACAGGTTGACTTTGGAGTCACTTAAACACCACAGACCTGTAATTTTTCTTTAAAGCTTTTCTGTAAAAGACAAATGGAATTGTACTTGTAGGGTATTTGGCACTCAAGAGTTGGTAACTGAAGAGATCACATGGTGGGCTCGGCTCATAGCTCAGTGGTTCTCAACCTCATTGAGCAAGGCTTTTAATTTCAGTCCCCATACTTGCAATAGCCCACCTCCATCTAATTTGCTGGCATAATGAGTATGCTGCTAGATATTTCCTGGGAAAAAATTGTGAATGACAATCCTGCAAGTCTATATTACCCCCTGTTAGTTCCACTGTAGGAGATTCTCAAATTTATATGTTGCACTATTTTGCTCACCCAATTTTTTTTTAGCTATTTGTAAAATGCTCTTAGATTTATAGCCACTGTATGTTACATTATAATTACATTTTCAGAAGCATCAGTGTGGCCATTTAAATAATCAATTGCTATTCTAATTTTTTAAATCTTTTAAATTTCTCTAAACATACTAGTTTTACTTCCTTTATGTGCTAACAGTTCTAATATCTGAGGCCATGGATTCTGCTATTTAGTTGTTTAGTTTTTTTTTTTTTCTTTTTTCTGAGACAGGGTTTCTCTGTGTAGCTTTGTAGACTAGGCTGGCTGGCCTGGAACTTACAGAGATCCAACAGCATCTGCCTCCTGAATGCTGTGATTAAAGGCGTGTGCCACCACTACATGGCTTGCTATTTAGTTTTTTAAAAGATTTACTTTTACTGCTTATTTATATGCTTATGTGAGTATATGTGCATATGAATGCTGGTACCTGTTGAGACCAGAGAAGGGAGTTGGATCTCTTGGAACTGTAGTTACCGGCATCTGTGAGCCACCTAGCATGGGTAATGGTATTCCTTATGCTAGAACATCAAACACTCTTAACTGCTAAGCCATTTCCAGCCCCCTGATTTCCTACTTTTGGTCCCCAGTTTAATTGTAGTTTATGATTTTTGAGTATGAGCTTTAATATTATTTAATATTATTGAGAAATTATTTCTGGAAATCTTAAGAGTACCGCTCAGTGGCAAGAGAGTGAATGGCTTTGGAACTGGTAGTCAATGGCTCATGGATAATTTTAGTTGGTCTGAGAGGTAAGTCTGAGGAGAAAGGAGTAACTCATTTCCACTGCTTAGTCTTATGTACACAATCCACAGCTCTAATGGTAAACAGTAAGTTTCTCTAGAGAGAAACTCATTAGAAACACACGTAGCACTCCAGTGTCAAACAAGCTCAGTTTATGGAATATGGGTTGTGGTGAAAGAGCCTTGGAACCACAGGACCCAATTCTGTCAGGAGTAATAAACAAATGATACAAGTCATAGGTCTGTTTGCGCCTTGTTTTTCTATTTAATTTAAAAACACTTTGGACTCAGTATAGTAAGTAGATGAAATACAGTTTCTCACCTTTTATTGCACTACTTTTTGGAAATCCTAATAGAAGGCAAAGAATAAGTACAGAGTAGAATTAAGTATGAAAATGTAAGAAGCTAACTGCATGAAGTACCTTAAAGTGAGAGGAATCTATGTATACTGTATCATTGGCTAACACTTTATTTGCAAAGAGATCTTTCTACTGCACAGAGAGTTGACTTTAAGAACGTTTTTGAATTTTAACAGTCTGTTTAAATTCAGATTTGTCACAGGGCCAATCTCAGTCAAGCACTTAAAAAGTAAATGTTTGGCAGATGCACAATAGAGGAAAAAGCTCCTCAATACAACATAGAAACAAATGTAATGACATCAATTCACATATTTTCCTATTTCTGTGTTGGTAGTCTAGCAATGAGCTGTCTTGGCTATCTGCGCTATGTCCACCTAAAATTCTCCCCAGTCTCCTTTGGGAGCCACATCTTTCACTTTTTTCACAAAAACTTCGTGAGATGCCAAAAAAGCACTTCAGGAAAGGTGTGGTGTATAAATGTTCACTCATTTTCTAAGAATACCTGTTGAAGCTGCATCATTTCATACAAAAGTTTGCAGAGTAAGATAAGGAGGAATCCAAATGGGGCCCAGGAATGTTTGTTTCACCTTGTTTATGTGGTGACAGTGACAGCTTTCACGGCGTTTGAAGGCTGCCTTACCACAGCTTATATTTTACCTACCGCCTATCGATGTTTGGATAAGCTGGCCAACAAGGAAAGAAGATGAAATGTAGTAGGCTGAAGTTTTGTGTTTATTAGCTCATGTGGCACACTGTCTGTGCACTCTTGTGAAAACTGTGTGTATGGGTAGTATAAAATTTGATAAGTGAGGTAGTCAAAGGAGATTGGTGGTAAGGACATGCTTACTTTGATATGCTCACAACATTTCTTTGATCATCTGACTAGGTTTGTTCCTTACTGTAAAAATTTCACACTGGGAAATCCTTAATACATATCCTAACCTAACAGAGGGAACATAAGGGCTTGTCTTTAGAATTTGTCCTGGGTAAACAATATATCCAAGAGTTTATTGGCTCAGATGAAATCTGTTGGACACAGACTCGGGCCTTTGTGATGTAGGAAGACAATAGTGTTAGACATTCTTTCACTACAGGTGGATCCTTTAAGACTGCTTGAAAACTAATCAAAAGTCTTTTCATTTACTTAAGGAAGAGAAAGCATAGATTAAAGTGTTGAATAGATTGACCTAGTTAGTACACAAGTATAGATGGTAGCTAGAATTCCAGCTGTGTACAGGGTTCAAAGAAAGACCACATGACTTTTGTCATGCAGATATAAACAGAAATATTTTTTGTTTGTTTTCAGAAATCTTTCTTTAACCAGCCCAGATACTAGGGTAGGATTAGTTATCAATGTTAAGAGAGTTTAATCTGGGGCTGGGAGTATACAGGGTAGTAGAATACATATTTACCATATACAAGGATCTTAGTTTTATTTCAAAGATGATTTGTACCAGAATAAGTGCATGCTTTCCTTTTCTTAGTTTTCCAGGGACGGAAGGACCATAATTTTTCTTTCCATCATCTTTTTCACTTTGCTTATAGGAAGAGAAATGACTTCTTGGGATAGAGAGAATGGCAACATCATGCACTCACTGACCATGATCACCACAAGAGTACTGAACTGGAACAGAATGCCATGGTGCTTTTCTTAAGGGCCTTCTTGCCTGTTCTCTTTCTATCCTTCGTAGGCAAAGAGGCTTTGGTTCCAAAAGGACTGTGTTTCAAGAAAGAGATAGGCAGAACAACAACAACATTCTTTCCTGAGATGTCCAAGCTTTAATTCCTAGGACCTGTGAGCTAGGCTACATGATGAAGATGAACAAACGATGCAATCAAAGTTAGTACTGATATGGAGATATTAGCCTTATTATCCTAGGGGGCTCATAGAAGTGGAAGAGAGACTGGAAAAGAAAATTCCAGGAATATGGCAGTGTGAGGGGGACTTGGCCCAAGGTCTCAGGCTCTGAAGACAGAGATGGGCCAGAAGCTGGAAAAGCGATGAAATGGGACCTCCTTTAGCACTTTTGGAAGGAATGCAACTGGCTGATAATATGATGTCAGCCCAGTGACTGTTGGATTATTTATCTGTAGAACTTTAGTTTAGTATGTTTTTGAAGCAACTATACTTGTGTTAATTAGTAACAGAAATAGAAAACTCATTTTCACCAGGAATGACACTACTAATGATGATAGCTAATACTTTTTCAGTGCATGCAGGTGATAGGCACTGTAAATGATGAAACTAGGATTTCCATGCAGCTCATTAACTCTAGAGGCTTAACACTATGTTGACACTGAACTTAAAAATCCTATTTTGTGTGTTGGATGGACCTTGTGGCTACTACAGAGATTTACTTACGGAGGCAATAAATTTGCTTGGAACCTAGATCCACCTTAATGTTTTTTGGCTCTGTTGCTTCCAATCTGTGAGATATTAGGCAATCTCAATTTAACTGAGGCTTAGCATTAATTCCCAAAGAAGTAGTAATATAATTTATCTCTGGGAGAGGGCAAAGAAAACCTTTGGCTATTTTGTCCTTAAGAGAAATTCACTACCATTTCATCATTCTGGAACACTTGAAGATCCAAAGCTTCTCCACCCTTTGTTAACTGGATAAATAATGACAATGACAAAATGTAGCTTTTACAGTTAAGTTACTCATCAAGAAAGCCACCCCCTCTTAACTGTGTGTGTAGTTTTGAGAACCAGGAGGATGATCAGATATGAAAGCTAAAAAATAAAGAAAAGTTTAAAAATGTAATATTTTAGTTTACAAAGAGATAAAAAGAGATGAAAGAGTCTTAGATTCTGACTTCAAAAAGGTATTCTTTGTAGTTTGAGATATCAAAATAAGAATCAGTAGACTGAAGTTATGAAGTAATATATTTTAGGTTAATATGAAGGAGACTCATCTAAGAATAGATGTGTTCTAAAGTGAGGGGAGCTGTCTCAGAGACATACTGCTCTTCATTCATATTGCATATGAATGCAGAGATTTGGATAATTTTGCATGAAGGGCTTGCTGTAAACCTTGGAGCTAGCCTAGGTAGCCTCACAAATCTCTTCAATCAGCTTTTTAAATGGCTTCATGATTTACTAGGTCCAAACATATTGCCATCTCAGAATTTTCACAGTTCAAGGTAAAATTTTGGGAACATTTCCAATTTCACTTCCCACAACATAAATGAAGATGTCAAATGTAGCCCTATTTAGACAGTATCAAAAGTATCGATGTAAACTTATTACTCATTATGCTTGCCCTATTTGTCATTTCTGTCTTCTCTCCAAGGTATATTTACTAGTACATGTCACTAAATTAAAAATGAACAACCACAAAGTCCAGATTATTATTATTATTATTATTATTATTATTATTATTATTATTATTATTATTATTATGTGGTGTAAATCCAGAAGCCAATATTGTTGAGATGTTAAC